TAATTTGCACTTTCATGATGACTCATTGAATCACTTCTTTTAGGAGACTGATAGATGATCATTTTTATTTCCTTCATCTAGAGTTACCATTCTGAATGCTGAGGAATTCTTCTAAAATGGATGTTCTATCCCGAAAAATCCTAATATAAGGAAAAAAGATCCTATATTAATTGATCCTCCAGTCAATCACCTGGCTTTGCCAAGTTTTATTAAGTTCATCAGTGTAGCAAATAAATCTTACTGTGAGAGTGTAAATATTGTTGCCAACAGTGATACATTAGAAAAGCATTGAAAACATCAGAAGACAACAAACCAGGTGGTTTTCACTGGCTTATTTCATGAACAGTATATATCAACCTGCAGCACCCACATCAAACTATATATTTTCCTTTTTTAGTACAGTTCATTTAAATACAAAAGACTTCAGCTTTTGCTTCATCCATATCATGCCCTGGATTTGTATTACAAAACACTGTGGAGTAAGAAACTTACTCATCATTTACTATTTCCTTCTCTTGATCTTTGGATTTGGTTTCAGTGGACAGTTCTCAGCTTTTTCAGGAAGATGACATTTATGACAATAGGTGACAAACTTATGGCCAAAATGCTGCGTCAGCTTCTGATTACTCAGGAAACTTATACTCCATTCCTAGTTTTGACAAAGGCTGCCTGTGCATCTTTAGGCTTGCCAAAGATTTTGCAAAACTTTGAACATGTTGATACTTTGTTGATAGCTGATCACTGAACTGAGAAGGGTTATTCAGATGAAGCACATGCTTTGGGTCATGATTTCCCTTTGGGTTAGCTTCCACATCAGTAAAATGGGCTATTGGTATAACCTTTCCTGTTGTACTTACTGATTGTGAACTGTTCAATCAGGAAATCTCTCTTTTTGTTATGGAAGTGTTCAGTAGTGTAGTAAAGGGGGCCTCTAATCTTGGAAGGTTTGTGTATAGACTGCAGAGTTCTGGGTAAGCAAATAACTTTGATTGTGTCACCATTACCCCAGAGAGAATCATTAAACCTTACAGTGCAGGTGGAATGGCTTTCCACTAACAGTTGATACATATAAACAAAATTAGGAAGTATCGGCTTCACGGGTGGAATTTATCTAGAAGTGCAACATAAATTTTCTTATAATCATGAAATTATAATGTCATTTCTTACTTGGGTTATTCTTTATAGCCCTATCTATTTGTTAACTCTTTATGTAGCACTAAAGGTAGTTAGGTTACGTCACATAATGTGTACTGTAGTTTAAAAAGCAGAAATAAGTGCATGCTTACCTAATAAGTACTTCTAATATACCTTGAAATTGAATCACATTGTTTCAGCATCAACAGTACTTTAAATATTGCATTCTCTAGAGATTATATTCTAGAGCCTGAATTAATGGCATTACTGTCTTTTTTTGCTCTCCATAGACTAATAAAATAGTAATACGGAATGCTTGTTTTTCCTGAATTGTAAGAATGGTAAGACTGGGGACAAAAGAGTGGAAGAAGTATCATGAAGAAATTATAAGATGTATATAAAATTATAAAGTTGCATATATGCGTTTTTCTTCACTATCTTAGGTGTATTCTGCAATCCCTCTCAAGTTTCAGATTTTATTTTGATCTGATAAGGCACAAGGTCTCAGCCTTCTTGGGAGACAGTGGCTGCGTTTACAGTGTCCTGCAAGATGACATTTTCAGACACTCCTTGAGCCACAATCCTGCAACAGACCTATGCTACCTCACTAGACCATGGGGGAAAGCATGTGGCTGTCACCTCTTTAGAATGCTGTGGCAGAACCAGAGCATCCTTCTCTTCTCATTTACAGGGCTGGCCATGCTGTCACATCACTTACTGGAGCCCTTCCAGGAGGAAGGACATAGTACACAAGAGCTTCACAAGAAATTCTAGATTTAGAACAACCACGAGTGTCTTCAACCAAACCGAAACTTCCCTCACAGCCAATGAAATGCTGTTCAAGCAGAGCATCAGACTGTATGAGACTCTATGTGCATACACTGCACACATCTGCACAATCCTTTGGCTTTCAGAGGCTATTCCCCCTGAATACTGGCTAACTCACACTTTAATAGTGCCATCCAGTTTCTGGCATCACAACAGCTGTGTGCGCCAAACCCACCTCATGGCTTTAACCTGCAAAGGTGCATCGATTTTGATCTGATGGCAGCACAGTCAGCATGTCGCTGTAAGAAAACACACGGGGTCATCCACAAAGAAAGCTTATCTTTACTTGGTTAGATAACATTTCTTGGTTCTGCTTTCCAGACCAGGTTCTCCTTAGGCACTGAGATGTATCATGTCTAGGACTATATCTACTTGTTGCTTGAACCGCGAAGAACCAGAGCTCTGTGTTTGTTTCCTAGACAAATAATTCCACTTTACCTTCTTCCCACCCGCAAATTCTATTCTCTTCCTCATTAAGATCAGCCAGCTGAGAAATCTTACAGTGACTCTCTTTCCGAATTTCCTTGGCCCCCGTTCCTTTAAGCTTGTGCTGTAGATTGCTCTTATGCTAAAGAAAAGGACCCCCTTACCCATGCCTGTAGTGTTAGATAATGCCTTTAACGAAGGGGAAAAGATAAGTTCTGACAATTCTTAGTTCTCAGAAGAGAGAGAGAACTGAGTTCTTGGAGTCAGTGGCTCAGGCAGGTGCATAATCCGATTGTATTGGATACAGTGAACAGATGTTTAAAAAGTATTTGGACAATCTCCAAAGCTAACTTCACAAAGAGCCAAGAATTTCAGTGTTGGAAAGACCTGTCTGGCAAGATTGGAGGCAAGGGGTGTATCTCTAATATCCATATGTGATGTACCAGGGGGTGGGAGGGAGGGCTGCTGTGCTCTGTTACAGCAATTGAAGAATGTCTGATCAGACACCCTCAGATGTTTATAGGAAGCGGGTGGAGAGGGATGACATCTGTGAGGTCCAGATGTTTCCTTATGAAAGTGTCTTCAAATGCTGTCAAATAATAGTAAAAGTAAAATCTTTACATATATGGGGCAGTGCAGAACTGTCACAGGATGTGAATTTTCAGGAACCGATCAGGTGCCATTTAAGCATCATTGTTAGACTGAAGAGATGATATTCCAATTGGATGCTTGGCCACAGCAATCAGAAAGAGCAAGCTGATGTGAATATAGATCTTTCCATAATAAATAATTATTGCAATTTAACAGTTCTGTGGCTTAAAGTTTAGTTAGAACTCTTTTGGCTATCCTTTTCTCTTTATGCTCCTAATTATATCTAATGTGAAAAGATATGGAAACCAAAGTTCATGTATGTTAAACCCTCAACATTACCTTATATATCTCTGCAAAGATGGAAGGAAATCCCCTACATGCCAGAGAATTTTTTGAATGCTGACCATACCTGTAACTTTATAAATGGAAACTTTTAATTTGTGTCTTGCTGCCTTTCCCTTTTACCAGGAAGATTATAAAAAGCCGTAAGAACCAAGCCTCTAGTTCTCTCCTTCGGTACAGGCTTAACTCTTCAAAATTTCCTCCTCAAATGTCACTTGAGAACAAATCCTGGCTTGTCTGCGTCTAGCTTCTTTCTTAACAGCTCCCTATTTCCACCCCTGGTTTTCAAAGATGCCAAAAATGTTGTGATTTTCCTGCTCAAAAGACCTTGCATGCCGAGTAATTCTTCTTTTCAGCAATAGTTACTTACTGGATGACTCAGTAACTTCCAAGAGCTTCGTGCTGCTCTTCCTTCCTGTCATCTTCGCACTGCGTAGTGATGCATATGCTTCTGGTGTCTGTAAAAACGCTGTATCTGCCTAACACAGCTAGAGCCTCCTCTCAAAAGCAGAAAAGTGTGTGCAGACGTTCTTCTCTGGGCACAGGATTTCTCTATGACATAAAGCACAGATAAACCTCACAGAAGAGTAAAAAAATTGAAGGAAAGTAGTGCTAGTAGGGATAGAAGTGGAGAAATGGTTGCAATGCATTTGTCAGAAGCCATTTTTGAACATACAGAAAGATTGTTGCAGTTCTTTGTTCACAGAGCTCCTCAATTTGTGACTTCTTTGGGAAACTGATCCTGGAATCTGGGATGTGACTTCTAGGAAGTAAAACAGAAAATGCTGCCCACAATACATACAGCAATTTTGTTTCTTAAACAATGTTTGCTCACATCTTACCATTTAGCAATTAAATCAGACAACCAAAACCTGGAGCACAGCATCTCAGCCAGCTTGTGTTTATGTTAACAGCTGTATAGAAATGCACCTTGTGAGTGAGTCTGAGCAGTGAATGTGCATATGGGTGTTTAGGTAGGATTTGGGTAGAGGATGTTCTTCACACTGGCTGATCTGTAAGTATTTCCCTAGTGAATATGAGAGAACTTGTCTTCCTACATCTTAAGTAGGCATTGTGTTACCAACTAGAGAGGTTAACCTGGGTCTCTGTGTGGTGAGGAAGACAAAGCCAGTGTGTGAGAGTTCAAGACACATATGCATAAGACAAGCTGACATTCACAGAAAGAGAAAAAAAAAGTGGTTCAAGCCCCATTTCCTGTAGCATATAAGAGATGTTTCATTCTGATGGTTAATTACTTCCATATCAAACAGATACTATGATCATAAGGGTAGAAGTTAAATCGATTAGGGTAATTAAGCAAAACATACCTCAAAACATGCCTCTCAGAAAAAGAATGATAGACAGGTAGGGTTAGTCAGTCGTCATTCACTCAGACTTTACTCAGAGACGATTTACATCTTGTGACCCATTGCAAAGCTGAAGACATAAAGTGACTGAGCCAAGTTAATAAGTAGTCCCAACAATTACCAGAAAAAGTACACTAGCTTCAACAACTCAGCAATTTACAGTAAATCACTATGGATGTCAATGAACTGTTGGTAACATATATCCCTGTCAGCATTTTAGCAAGGCAGTCCAGTCTGACATCCCAATGCAATAGTTTTACTGTGAAGTCTTATTTTTGTTTTAATCTTAATATTTCTATTACTATTTTCCAGGCCCTGATTATATCAAACAAAAATTTCAAGAAGGAATGGATGGGAAAGAAAAATCTGAAGAAAAAGTTCAGGAAAACCCACCTACCCCAAAAGAGTCACCTCACTTTTATCGAAAAGGTACTACACCCCCTCAAACCCCAGAAGCAAGTCCAAGGCATAGTCCTCTTCTTTCTTCTGACACTTCTCCTTCAAAACAACTGAAAAGGCAAAGCTCCAATTCTGGGGCAAGACTCAGTCAAGAAAAAAAGCTTTTAGCCACTGAGAATATAACACCCACAACTAACAAGCCTTTATATTCAAAAGCACCAGTGAAGGAGGAAGTAGCTGTGAAACACCAGCCAAAGTTTTCAGCCCAGCACAATCCCATCAGCACAGAGAATGGGGAGCTGCATGGTCACTACCACGGCTATTATGTAAAAATGAATCCATCAGTGCTTCCACAGGAGCTCAGGGAAGAGGATGAATATGTCAACCCATCGCCATCAACACTTGCACGAATACCGCCCTCTCAGAAGCCAAGTCCTGCTAGATCTGGGGGTAAGACAGATGCCAAAGAAAACAAACCTGACACAAAAATTAAGAAACCAGAATATCCTGCACCAAAGAATCCAGCTAATAATGAGTCACATTCAGCAGTGGAAAAAGAAGTAGGAAACAGCTCGGTAAGTACTGCGAGAAACATTTTCACTTTCACTGCCCATTTGCCTCTGAGTGCTGAGCTTTGCAACCTGAAGACAAGCAAAGCTCACTTCTGTCAAATCCTCGTCTGGATACATTCCGCTAGCTAAAACCCACTGCACCAGACTGGAGTAAGGAACAAATATTCCTCACTGGAGTGAAGAACAAATATTCCAGTCCTTTATGTTATCTTTTTTGTAAACTGGGAAGGGATAGTTGATAGCCAGATACTGACAGACTTCTGAACCATGAGATCCTATTGCATTCATAAACACAAAAGTGTGTTGCTGTGTGTATGTATATACATATAGATGCGATTTGCATGTATGTAGATACATACTCACAGATACACATTTTTTTTATATAGATATATATATTCCTCCCCAGAAAAGAAGTCCCATAATGTTAATTGTACTTCTGTGGATATTTGTACAGTACTGGGAGTTAGACACACACTCTTCCCCAAAGGTCTGCTTTTGACTGTTGCTGGAGACAGGATGCTGGCCTGTGGTCTGACCTAGTCCAGAGAATCTGCCATTTTTATCTTCTGCTCCATGTTGGTTTTGGGTTCTAAAAACAGGAAATTTGAACCAAAATATATACTGTTTTCAAATGCATACTTTGTAACAATGCTTGCGTTTTACAGTGATGTGAAAAATTTTACTTTTCGTCAGAAAACGGAGAAGGAGTTTTAAAATTATGCATCCAGATCAGTATGAATCTTAATTTCATTCTTAGCTAAAAATAATAAAACTATCAATAGCTATGCAGAGAAGGAGTGATTACTAGTAGCATTTCTATTCCGTGTTAGAAGGAGAAGCCAGGTTATGAAATTCAGAATCTCTGATGATGATTCTATGATTTCTGGGCCAAGAGAAACTCGGGAAACCATTAGTTTTAGATCCTACAGTTAACCTTTAAAACTGACTGATGGTTCTCAAAAAGTAATTAGAAAAGCATCAGTTATTTGGTATTATTCTGGTGAGGTCATTCTTACATTAATCCTGCTATTCTTATTTTATTCACATTGTTATTAATGACATGCAAGAAGACGTAAGAGTATTGCTCGGGAAGTTCATAGAAGACACAGAGACCAGGAAACTGGTAAATAATGAAGACCAATACAAGCTGATCCAAATCAACTGTTAAGAAGGGTGCGAGTATAATTATCCATGGGTAGCACAGCAAAATATAGTGTTATATATGAAAAACAATTAATAGAGCCTGACCATGCAGGATCAGAACTGGAAAAGGTTGGTGGATCAGGAGCAAGAGAGGCAACTGAACATGAGCTCCCAGTGTGCTGCTGTTGTTCAGAGATGTTAATATAATCCTTAGATTTATCAGCAGAAGAGATTAAGCAAGAGTACATGGGAGTCTGTTCTATCTGCTTTTGGCACGGGTGCAATCACTTCTGGAGTAAAATACTTTGTCCATAAATCGGGGATTTAAAATGAGAAAAACCTTAAGGGGAAGTCGCACAAAGAACTGCAAGAATGATTAAAACATGTCTTACAATGAAAGATTCAAGGTAAAAAAAACCCTGACATATTAAATCATTTCCTCTAAGTACACTTTATAAAATAGTTTTCCAGGCTAACAAGCAAATGTATAAGAAGATTCAACAGCTTGACAGATTGAGATAAAAGTCTTGATTTAAGTTGCTTTTAATGATATTAATTAAATGTGACATTAGTTTTCTGATGCTGAGGTTTTGGACCCATCGCTGAATAGTTCAGTAATGAGCATTTTGCCAAGATGATATTCTCTAGTTCTGCAGGAAGCTTGTATTCTGTTTTGTGCGGATCAAAGTAGATGTTCACAGAGGTTCTGTAATCTGCAAATCTGTATTACAGCTGATATCAGCCCTTTAACCTTTCAAATCTCACAGATATGACTCTTATGTAGGGTAATACAAAGCTGTCAGGCTTGTAAATGTTGAGCAAGCATGTACAGAATTTTAGCCTGAATTGGAATTGTATGTTCAGCTCTGGTGAAAATAAGTGAGTAGAAATACTGCTTATTTTTCCTGCATTCCAAATAATGTTTTGGAGCTGAGCGAGTCCTCATCTTAACAAGTAGGGCACTTGAACAGCAGTTTATTGACCTTCTAGAATAATCAGGATAAGGACCATGAACCTACAGCCTGTTATCAAGAAAGGTGTAAAAGTGATGAGATATTGTGCATTAGCTACTGTTTGTTTACTGATATTACAGTTCATCTGGGAACTGTTCCTCTATTTCATTTGGAGCACCCTAATTGCACTGTTCCTGTTACCAGCATTTCAATAAGGAAGGGAGGTGGATTTTAGGAATTCATTTTAATATAAAAGTATTCTAAGATATATGTAGATGTATGTGGGTGATTTCAAAGATGTCTTCCATATGTGTCTATAAATTTATTCTTATAGAATAAATTTCCTACACACTTATTTCTTTAAATTGCTGAAATGAGTAAAAATGCTAAAACAAAGCAGAAAAGAGTAGCCTACTGGCCTAGCAGTTTGAGGGAGAAACAGTACAGAATGACTGTTAAAATTGCCTGGAGACTTCTAATTTTTAGTATTACCTTTCAGCTTTGAAAAACAGTAGCCTGTTCTGCAGTGCTCCTGGACTGAACTCAGTAGTGTGCTGGAATTATGCAGTGACTAACCTAAGAGTGCACAGTTATTGAGGAGAAGCCAGATTCATAGAATCATGGAATAGTTTGGGTTGAAAGGGACCTTAAGGATCATCTCGTTCCAGCCCCATTGCCGTGGGCAGGGACACCTTCCACTAGACCAGGTTGCTCAGAGCTCCCTCCAGCCTGGCCTTGAACACTTCCAGGGGCTTCCACAGCTTTTCTGGACAACCTGTTCCAGTGCCTCACCACCTCACAGTAAAGAATTTTTTCCTAATACCTAGTCTAAACCTACTTTCTTTTAGTTTGAATCCATTCCCCCTTGTCCTGCTTAGTGTACTTCTCTTTATCCCAAACACTTCTGAACGTTGAGTGACTTCAGAACTCTAGAGTTGCATTGGGGAATTATTTTATTTTAGTAAGAAATTGCAATTGCTTTTTAGTCATCCTGACAAATGATTTCGTTATGCTTTGAAATGTATTTTTTAAGGAATATAAAGTGAAAAGAACCCTCACTCTCATGAAAAGGGAATGATAAAACATGTTTTTGGAATCCAAAAATGAATCTATAACATTTATTGAGCACTTTCATTAGGTTATCTGAAAGTGCTGTGTGAAATTGTGCTGTGCTTTTTCCAAGTTTCCAGTAATAATGCATTAAGAACATAGATACAGAAGAGAAGATTTTCAATTCTTCCTTCCATGTATCTAAATCAAAGCCTTATCTCACTTCTGAATGAAACATCAACTTTAATTTGGATTAAGATCTTTAAACAACTTTATTTGCAGCAAAGCTTGCAGCAGCTGTTTTAGTAATCAAATTCATGTTTTATATTTTCTGTGAATCTGTTACATCCTGAAGAATGTCATTGAGTATCATCTGTGCAATAAGTAGTCATAGGAACAGTACTGATTCTCTAGATATCCCCTTTTCTGCCATTATACTTGAAAAATATCAGCACATACTTCTTATGCCACACATTTAAGTGTGTTTCTCTATGTAGTTACTCTGTGATGTTCAAAAATCAAAGTTTAAAATAATTTTGGAACTCATAAGAAAGAGTCAGTTTTTATCAAGGTAAAATCATGTATAAAGCACAATGACAAAATCACTGTTCATCAGCTGCTCAAAAACAGCTGGCTGTTTACAGGAGTTACCTGTCATTTATGAGAGATAAATCATCCTTGTTTCACTGAGAACTAGGCCAATTGTATAATTAGGTAAATTGTATTTACCACAGTGTGAAGGTTGTACAGAGACGCTTGACCATGAACCAGTACTGTTGTTTCTAACTGCTCGTTAGCAGCCTCTGGCTCCAGTTTCAGTTTGCATGCTGCTATCCCACCTTGAATATGAGCTAATTTGAGATTGTCTTCGATTTGGGTGTGTGGCAATTCAATAGGATTGAATTTCACAAAACACCATTGTAGTGTACATTCATGAATACACATTTTGTTTGCCCATGTGTGACCATGTGCTGCCCTAGGACAGATCCAGCCCAGGCACAAGTGTTTTACTACACTGTAATTTTTTTCATCTTGCAGGTAAGGATTTTTAAACCACACAGACTGTTTAGCCTGGTTTTTACCTGTATCTAAAAGCTTTGTGTTTTGCTGAATGTTACCCAGTGTGCTTCTACTCCCGTCTTTTTGTTCAACTCTCATGTCTTTGTTAACTTAAGATCCATGTAGTAAGGGCTATAACTACCATGATATTAAAAAAATAGATCAGTATTTGCCTGATCCTAAATAAAACCTCTGAGCAGGAACTTTATGCTAAATCGAATGGACATTCCTAATGCAGTGGAATTACAAGACTAGTCTTAATATTTCCTGGCATTACATTTTAGGAAAATATCTAACTTTCCTCCCCAGATGAAAACTAATTGTATGGTTATATTTTTAACTACATAAGTGTCTGACTTATGAGAAGCTGAAAGGGCAATTTTTAAGCAGGACTGAAGATTTTCTACTACAGCTTCTTTAGTGCACCTGTTCTAATCACTCTTAGACTGTTCAAACTAATTGTGGCTTTTGCTATTTTAAGCCCTTGCAGGACACTAAAGTCTTATTTGTGGTATTTGTCTTAAAGCATTAAATGCTTATTTCATAGGTGTCTACAGAAAGGCAGTAGTTCATTGCATAAGAACCATGTGCTGCACAAATATTATTTGATCATTTTTTAGTGTATCAGGAAATTCTTCTTGGGGCTGAAGGGCGTAGTTATCAGAAGAGGAAACAAAGTGCACATAGCAGGCCAAAGTAGATGAGATTTATGTCTTCAGATAAGGCATAGACTCATTATTATAAAGAGATAACACATTTTTCTATGATCATCATGTAAAATCAACATGATTTTACAACAGCCCAGTTCTCAAGCTGTCACTTGCTTCTGTCTTTGTAGATGAGATTTCTTGATTCAGCCCATAGCCCCTAGGGTTTTTAGCCTAATTTATCTAATGTTATTCTGATGAGATTGTTATACCTAACCTGACTGACAGATGCACCAAAAGAGAAGTCCCCTCCCTCTCCAACAAGCTTAATTTTGTGAGACTTATGATACTGAGCTTCTGTTGGAGCTGCAGTCCCTGTTTATCAATCAGCCAGAATCTGTCTTGCAGCTACTAGGATGCTTTCCACAATGTATTTCAGGTAATGAATGAGTTCCTGGTTCCTGTTAAGTCCCCATAGGTTCAAATTTTTTTTAAGTCATGATAAATCAATGTGATTTCCACAGATGTTATTTTCAAATATGCAGAGTCCTAGGTGGCCAAATCCCAGTGAATTTTAATGGTATTTGGCAAGGATCTCCTTCACATTTGCTTGCAATTCGTTTTGCAGTATAACTAAAATCTTTAGTTGAGATTCCAACCCATAAGGGAACTATTGACCAACCTAAGGGAACTATTTTGATCACATGGGGAGTCCCTGTTTGAATCATAGGATCATGGAACGGTAAAATGGTTTGGGTTGGAAGGGGCATTTAAAGATCACCTAGTTCCACCTCCCCTGCCATGGGCAGGGACACCTTCCATTAGACCAGTTTACTCAAAGCCCCATCCAACCTGACTTTGATTACTTCCAGTGATGGGGCATCCACAACTTCTCTGGGCAGCCTGTTCCAGTCTATCAACAGCAGAAAGATGCTGAATCCACATCTTAGTGGAAATTAATAGTGTAATCAAATCACACTTCCTGTAGAGAACTTTGTATATTAGTATGTTTGTCATGAGATTCTGGGAATTTTTTTGCAAAAGAAGCAGTCATTAAGTGGAAGGTTCACTCCTAAGGGTGTTTACACTAACATTCCAAGACCGCAAAACTGAGATATTCTCAAAGTAGCTTTTGTTTCAAGTCAAACATGTCTTATTGCTCCAAGTCTTCCAGTATGGCTTTCATGCATAAATCTCACAATTGCCAAATGCATTTGGTGGGAATTCTGATGGGGACTTGGATTTACTTCACAGTAGAAAAGCATAGAAGTACTCAACCTAATGTAATTATGATCGTGCCAGAAAGAGAAAGAAGATTTTTACCTTGAGTTACACAGTACTACAGCGAGGCTGCTTACAGTGCTGTGCTCAGAAATGTAACCATATCTGGAGCTGTGCTTCGCTTTTATGCCTGTTCTCTGTCACCAAGTGTCTCATATTCTTTGGCACATGGTGAGTCACTTGCACTAAGGAGGAAGGAACATGGTTCCACTTCTGTTCTGTGACCTGATGGTTAAGGCATACCACTGGTAAGTGGGAACTTGTTACTCAAAGTTACTTTGACTAAGGTATCATTAAACCCTGTTTTCAGTTTCCTAGTCAATATTTTAGACATTCTGCCATTAAGCAAAATGTGAATACTGCTGCCAGTACTGTTACCCCTCTGGCAACATTTAACTGGCATCCTAGTAATCTTAATCATTGTTTGAACTTGAACACCTAGTTCCTCAACATGTGAAAAAATACCTCTGAATTGTTGCAAATGGATAGACATGCTGATTTGGTTTAGACTCACCAGAGATTTAAGCAGTACTTGACATAACATATTTTGTGACTTACTCAAGAACTTAGCAGTCCACATCTGGCCTGCCATCGGATGTACTGTGTAAAGGTGTGCTCTGGTAGAAAGTGTTTAATGAGACTGTTTCAGAAGGAGAGCATGTGATATAGTAATGACACAAGTACTACTCAAGAGCTTCCCAGTTAAGTAACATTTTCTCTGCCTTTGGTTGTCAAAAAAAGGTATTCTTTTCATAAAACACGTTTGTTTTGTCTGTTTTGAAATGAGTCGGAATTGGAGAAGGAACCTGCTGTAAAGATGATGAGCACTCCGGCTTCCATAAAGTAGTTCTCATTCTTTGTTTTGCTCTATTTTAAGCTGACATTGCTTTTGTGTTGATAGGTTTGTTTTCATTTGTTTATGTGGTCGTATTTGTGAGGTGGTTTAATCTCAGTATGATTAAGAGCAACATGATAATATACTCTCACCTGTATTTATGAAGCTCATTTTCACAAAGATGATACTTAGCTCACCTGAATATCAAGGGTAGTAGGTATTTTTCAGGAGCAGGGTCTGTATCCTTCAGATCAAGGTCAAAACCAATAGAAATTGTAAAATCGGGTCATGTTCATTACTGTGCATGTGTGGAAGGCTGCATTAATTCTCATATCTTTATTTTATTTTCAGGGCCCTAACTCAGTCATGATCGCCCTGGTAATGCTGTTGAATATTGGTTTAGCCATTCTTTTTGTCCATTTTCTAACTTGATTGGAATTAGGAAAGGTAAGAAAGGTCTTGTTTTCATATAAAATCACCATATCCACCCCACCTCAAATGATAAAGATTTAATTTCTTTGCATACTTTTAATGTTCCCCACTTTAATTATAGCTATGCCTGAATGTGATTCAACATAGTTATTTAATATTGTAACTGTTTTGACCCTTCAGTGAAGTCATGACAACTAGTGGTGTTAGCCCACAGTTCTCTGCAGTTGTGTCATCAGCCTTTTAAATGGCACCTGTCATACTCAGACACAGGGAAGGAGGCTTGGAATTAGGATGGGACGCAAGAGATATGAAACTTGGAAAATTCAGCCAGGGGCTCAAATCAGTTTCTCTGCTGATGGCTCGTGGCTTTGGGGTCTTCTGAAAGCTGAAGCAAGCAACCATGTTGGAAAACAAACAAAATAATCTGCTGAAGCAGCCCTGCCAGTGAAGTGCGTTGGCTTCTCCATCTGTTCCAGCAGAGTGTGACTAAACTGGAAATGTACGGAGCTGCACTTTTTGTTGATGGAAGCTAACAGCTGCCTTACTATTTTACCGTCTGATGTTTTTAGTGGGGAGATGGGAAAACGACTGCCAGAGGAATGTGGTCAGAGGATTCTGTTGCTGTGGAAGTGATTCCAGCGTTCACTCCTATCTCATTAGAAGAAATAGTTAGCAGCATCAGTCACCAGTCTTATTCCATTACCTGCTGCTTTTAACATCTCCTGCAGTGTTCTGGGAGATCGAATTTCATTTGCCTTTGCATGATTCTGTTCATTTGTTGTTTATGAAATTTGATGTATAGCCATAACGTAGTGTTTGGTCCAGCCTGGAGAAAGCTACCAGTTCTGCCTAGCAGCAGAAGCAGAAAATCAAATATCTTTTCCTAGTCTAAAGATAAAATTCTTAAATTCATTTTCCTAAACCTGAAGAGTCATTTTGCTTTAAGGTTTAGAAAGTAATATACCATTACTGCAAAATTTAAAGACGATGATATCTTCCTAAAAATGCTTCCAAAATGCTTCCAAAGCAAGCAAAATTTTTCATAATAAAAGAATAAGAATCTTATACTGGTACCAGCACATTCTAAACAGGAGGTGAATATCAGAGTAAGCCAAGAAAGATGAGCTATAGGGTTTGCATGCTAACTTTTTTTTCTTTTTTCTTTTTCTTAATTCTGGTGCTGTGGTAATTGGTGATTTCAATTATTATGTATCAACACTGAGGTATTTTGCCAGCGGTTAAAATAAAGTCTTGTCTGGGTGCACATTAATGCCAGTGACAGTTAAGCTAGTTAATGCTCATATTAAATCATCATAATTTTAAAATACTAGATTTGTGTTGAATACATTCAGGTAGAGCGTTTAAAAATGTTAAATGATTGTTTATTGATTTGATGCCTTCAGTGTCTTTAAAATCCATATATAATTTTACCTCAGCATTAAAAAAGCCTCAAAATTTTTCATTTGGAAGGTTTGTCTTAAGTAGTTTCATAGCCCTTTGTTCAAACGATGTGATCATGTTTCTTTTTATGTGCCATTATACTGTAATTATTGTACCCTATATTAATCAAATGCATGCTTATTTACTGAATATGTGGTGTGATCATTTGGCAAGTAAATATTTTAATTTAAAGCTGCAAAAAGCAAAGGGCTTATATTATGGTTTATTTTAGCTCTATTAGAAAATCTTTCATACAGTATAGTTTTTGAACCTGTTTGTAAACTTTCTAAGTTTTTGCATGGTTTAATGGGCAACATTCTTACAAAATACATTAGCTATTTTTGGTTCAGCATATTAAAGTACCATAGGTATGGACTGAATATTGTGCAGCGAAGCAGCTCTGAGCAGGGCAGTAACACCGTGGTGTTTTTTACAGAAGTATGTTGAGAATCCTGTGTTTTGACCAGTGTGGATAAAGAAGAAAGCAGAAAGAGAGCAAATGAAAATAAGACTTGTATATTTATTTTTTAAAAAAAGTTTAAATTGTGTTTTAAATTTAGGAAAGTAATTTTTAAATAAGAACAAAATTTTAAAAGTTACTGTGTAAGCCTTGACTTAATGGATGAAGTGTTCCATCCCACAGTTAAATAACCCCGTGTCTCCTGACATGAGGAGGTAATTTTGTAACTGACATATTTAATTCCTATTAAATGTTTATTTAAAATACTTTATGCTCTGGAAATAATGGGTAACAAAGCTTATGAAAAATGTTTATAAATTTAAGTAAGCATGTTAGTACCATTTATAAATATGTATGATTTATAAGCTTTTTTAAAACAAAGCTCAGACAAATCGTTGGTATTTTTCTAAAATGTGCACAGTTGTATTTTACATGAAAGGCTATTTATAATTGGTTGTTATACTGTACACTACATTTTGGACAGCACAATGAAGCCTGCCAATGTACTTAATAATGTCATTTTGTCTATTTGAAGTTTCTTGCTGTCAAAGAATAACTCTTTATCTATGGGTTTCTCTATTTATAATAAATTCTTGACCCAAAATGTACAATGTACAGTTTTCACAACTGTATTTGCTCTAATAAAAATAAGTTGGTTATTAATAGAGTTTCAGACTACTTTTTCCTGTTTATGAATTACTTTGTTCACTCTCTGGAAGCAATTTTTCTAACAAATTCAATAAACAAGGAATGAAGCAGGAAAATGGGTGAAGTCCTGGTCCCTTTGAAATCATTGTGAGTTACTGTTTTCAACAAAAGTGATTCTGGGAAACAATTAAAAATAAATAATTTAAAAAAAAAGTCAAGCTTCCTTTTGTGTCTTCTTTTATCTTCTGATACAGCATTTTTGTATCTTTATAAATTTAGTATCTTGAATTACACTTTCACTGCAAGACTGTTTAATCAGTTTTGTTTTAATCAGTGAGTGACTGGTCCATTAACAGCTGTTCTTGTAAGTGAATTAACTTTTTTAAACCTCACTCCTCCTTAGGGTCTTCATAGGTTCGGTTCAAAATTAACATGAAGTCTGTGAGCCAGTGTTACACAGAGAAAAATTCCCATTACAACTGTCTTAAAGCCACCACATTTGTTGAACTACTCAATCAGCTGAAAGTTTTATTTTCTGTGATTCTAGTTCAGATTACTAGCCTACTATACTGAAATCCTAATGTTTAGTTGAAGAGGACAGCAAGTTTTATTAGTAGTTCCTATATAATGGAAACATATTTTTAAGGACTAGTTATTACTGTCTTGTTCTTTAAAGTAATTCTACCAGCATGAAGCTTAACTTTAGGAATTTTTATTTTCTGCAAAATAACCTGCTCCCTAAAGAAAATTTTTGGCTCTTCACGTAGAGAAAAATACATTTTCAAGAAAAATAAACAGAAGTAGCTACAAAGCAGAAAATTTTTAACCGCAGCAAGCAAAGGATTTGTGCAGAAATCAAAGGGAAAAAAGTTTTCATAATTAGCAGATGGTCATTTTGCATCTGAGATGTTTTTACCAGTGGTTTATATCACTTGTAAACTTACAAATGGGTTTATGTAGGAATGCTTCTGCTATGCCTAAGGGGAAAAAAGACCCCAAAAGATGGACGCACAGTGCAACTTAATGCTTCAGGATTTGATCTAGCATGGAAAACTTTACCCCCTTCAAATGCAAGGAAAGTTTTTCTTAGGCACAGTAGTTTCTCCTGGCATAGTTGTGTGTTTGCCCACAGATGCCAGTAAGCAGTGAGCTCTCACCTTTGAATTTGAGGTCTGGTTTCTTGGACAGCTCCGTTTATGTGGTTAAACCATATATATAATGTACGCAGAAAAACAGCAAGTGAACGATGGTGAGGTGCCAAAGGCTGCAGAAAAAAAGAATTGTCTGTCATCATAACTTTTTACTCTGTCTAGTTCTTTTTTTAGTGCGTATATATATATGTTTATAGATGTATATAAAATCTTAGTATATATTACTTTGTCTTCCCATCAGAAAAGCAATAAGCAACACAAAGAGCGAGGAATCGTTTGGATTTGCTTTCCAAAAGGAGAGGTTTGCTTTGAAGAAAGAAATTTTGTGACATATGGCTACAACTTGCCTTTCAGATACAGACGTATGTTAAAAAAAATCATTAATACAACCTAGTGCTGACTTTAAAAGATGTAAACACCTCTTTATGGGTGCTTAATTAAAAATCTTGAAATAGTTATTTACATAACTTTTAATGGTGTATTATGTGATTACATATCTATTAAAAGCTCTGTTGAGATACAGTTACACAATGTTAAAAGATTCTGACAATAATGCAGATGCAATGATAAAAGCCTGCAGAAATTCACTGCGTACTGAGCTACAGTAGCATTCTTAATTGTTATTAATAAAACATGGTTGTGAATTGTTTCTAAATGGTTTTACTCATAGTTCATTTGAACCGTTTAGTCAGGGGAGACAGTTCTATAGACCATTCTCCTATGGAAATGGAATTCAGTAAACAAAGCAAATTAAGAGAAGGGAGATTAAATAAACCTTTCAAATGAAGTGGTTTTCTCTCATGTAATATTCACAGAAACAGGAAAAAATATAAATCATGTCAAGTCTGAGCAAGAAGCCATGAATGCACACATGCTGTAGCTGAGCCATCTACAGTATCCATCTCCATTTTTTTTCTACTGGACACAGAAACTTTAAACTAAGAGACATTACACTGCCTCCCATTGTAGGAGGTAAATATAATTTCTGTAATAACATCTTTAAGAAAAGCTGCCTATAATGTCAATGGCTTTAAACTAGGAGGAAAAAAGCCACTTCATCTATCTAAACAGTTTGTGTTGTGACCATTACCATAGCAGCTGAACAAATCCCTCATCCCCATAAAACCAATAGCAAAAATGAAGTTGGTAACAGAATTTGTTAAAATCTCTCATGTTTCTTCCTTACAATTGCTAAAAAGAGGGGATGGGGGGGAACAGGGAACATACAGCTTTTTTTAACCTGATAATCTAAATTTCATCATGTCAATACATGCTTCCTTCAGCTAATGTTTTTCACAGTCACTTGGGACTGGTTATCTAGGAGGTTTTAGGTGCAAACTGGCAGTGTATTGAATGTTGATTTTTTTCTCAGTAAAGAAAAAAAACAAGATTTTTCCTATCACCTGTGAAATGGTTTTGGTTGTAGTTTTTCTGTGCTTCTACTATTTTTCTAATTATCTTCTATCCTTTAGTGCCCACCCACCCCCCAGCTCTGGCAAATTCAACGTAATCACCTTTCCCCACACATGGTCATTGCCCCAACACTTCAGCAACTCACTCCAGGAACTCTCATGTTTTCTGTGGGGCACTTGTTTAAGCAGCAAGTTTAGGTCTCTGGCTGTGGAAGCCCTCTCCCCTGCAGTTTGCCCTACACCAAGTTGCAGGTGTCATATATGACAGTTTTCATTCGGTCCATTTTCTGCATACTATTAATGCTGGCTTATGCAACTGTATTATAATTTCAAATCTATTCTCAATGTCTCGAGTATCAGGACAGTGATATAAATACAGTATGTGGGAACTGAAAAGAAAATTACTGAAAGTGATGCTATACACAGAGCTAATGGCTCTTTGCAATTCATAGAAACCAAGGTAATGCTGACATCATTGAGAAAAAGTCTGGTATCAACTGGATTAGGAACTCTGCTACAAATGTCCACATTAAGATTGTGAAAAAGACTGGCCATACAACTGAAGCTGACTCTCAAGTCAGAAGATGAAGGAGTCCTCTTGAGGTTTGTGATTTACAGTATGAGGAGCTCTGGACTTGATATAGGTGCATGTGGACTGTTGGACAGAATGAAAACATCCTCCGTTGAAGATCTAGGATTGGCCACCTGCCTGAGCTTTCTTATATCTTCCTTCGTGTCTTACACTGATTAATCAGAGAGCTCTGTGAAAATTTGGGCACATACATTTAGACAAGGACTAGATTTTATGTTTATAAGTGCTTTCAATACTAATTAAGTAAAGAGAAATAAATGACAGGTGAATCATAGGCTTTAAACCATAGATTTTGAACTCTGGGTTTTTTTTTAATGTTGATTTATAGAAATTGGAAGAAAATACAGAATGTAGTCAAAGACTAGAATTTCAGGTGTTATCTTTCACAATATTAATATGTGTGTTAATCCACTACAGTACCTGAATTCCTTTGAGATCAATGCATTAATTTGAGAGAGATACGTATCTTTCTCGACTTTCCAGACTGTGATTCACGGAATAGCAGCTTGACGGAGACACTGTATTAGACCACAAAAGACAAATCTTCACCAAGAGTTTTGAAAATGGCTACCTATACTTAAATTTCTTCGTCTACACTTAATGACGCAAGTTTAAAAACATCCCAGCTCCTCAACACCTCATGGTTACTATTCAAAGACAATTTTGGGAAGGGAAAGTGGGGAGGTCAGATATTACACTGAAAACTGAAGTCTGCAAAAATGTTAAATCTGGCCTACAAATATGCCAAAGGTTGAAAGCGTTTTGATCTGGGTTTTGAGTCAGCTATTGGAGCTACAGGCTCTGATTTTGGGATTGCAGTCAGAATCCAAATCCAGATCTGGTTCCAAAGGCATACAGGTGAAGTGCTTGAACCAGGAGTGCTTTTAAGAAAGGGGCTGGGGGGAGAGGGAGTTAGTTAAAATCAGGCTGCTGTAACTCTGGGTTAATTAAACCATTATATTCTGTACTTCTGGAACAGTGTCATTAACTTTATTTAACATTGCAATTTTACTATATTCAGGACATGTTCCACAGCGTACCTCTGAAAGTATCATAGTTTAAGGTGATGGTGCTTAATTACTTATCCAATTTTAGCTGCAAAGTACTTTTATCATGTAATACCACCCAGACTTCAAAAATATTGCAAACTGTCTTCCATTTAATTATGACAGTTCTAGATTTTGTTTAGGCCACTAAAGAGAAAGTCACAAAAGGATGGGATCAGCTACCATGGAAACAGTGAAGGCAGAAGTGCACCAGCAGCCTTTCACAGGGGCTGGGACTAAAAAAGACATTCTGCAAAGAGAAGGTAATTGAAAGACATTTACATCACATCAGATGGCTTTCATGCATTCCTGCCATACCAAGACAACACATTCCTGGCATAGATTGCAACAAGCCTCCACATGCAACAATGATATACAGCAGAACAGGCATTGTCAGAAAAATTGGAAATGAATCTTCAGAAAAAAGGAGGTACAGACATGTTGAAATCAAAACTAGAAGAAAGCAGAAAGTAGGGGGGAAAGGAAGAAAGTGAGGGGAAAGGAGAAGCCTTGGGAACCTGTATGTGTTAAAGAGAGGGAAAAGGACTGTTTATAGGAGAAAAATACGAAGAAAATAAACTATATTGGACACAGAAAAAAGTAACAGTTAAATAGGAATATGAGTGGGATAGAAGACTGAGAAGTAACTGTCCTCAGTATACAAACAGCTTCTCTAGAAAGCTGCTTTCCAGGCCCCTGGGAATTAAGAAAAAAAAAGACAGATTTAAATTGTATGAAAATTGAGATCCAAGTTAGGCATAAAGAAAAATTCTCTAAATTGTAAGAATAATATCTCTGAATTAGATTACCACAGAAATTAGAAGATTTAATATTT